CTGCATCGGTTGCTTGTTCCAGCAGTTGGGTCGCTCCCCCCACGGGTTGCATGCATATGAATGATAAGCAGAAACGGTGTTGGTGACGGTTTCGTCTTGTTCGACCTTGTCCGATTGGTGGAAATAAATAGGGCGACCGCCCAAAATCGCGTTCGGTATGCAGTACTTTCCTCGTGCTGTTCCTTGTCCCTGGTTGGACCTCGACTACATAATACAATAGCGGGATATTCATGGTTTGAGGAGCCCCCCTCTCCTGTTCGCTAGTTGTAGCTTGGAGCTTGCATGGCATGCGCAACCGGCTGGGGGTAGACATTTCACGAGCACAGGAACTGATGCGTTCTGTTCGGAAACGGGGGGGGGGCGAACCTACAATCGGCAACGGCCCTGTCGCAGCAGCAGAATAGCGGCTGAATTTCGGATCATCTTCGCGAGAAATAAAGTTTGATGAGGAAAAACACCAGGGAAGGGGTACGCAGACCCTATTTCCCTAACCCCAACTCTAAACCCAACTTACCCGATTGCATTCTTTATCCAACATGTTCACGAAATAGAAACCCCCCCGCGAAGGCTACTGTGAAATTTCGGGGCTTTTGCTGAGAGAGTTACATACAACACGAAGAAGACATATTTTCCGGGCGTGAGGAAGTTTGTGGGTTGATACTGTCCCTGTGAGCGGGTGCGGCTATGGCAGCGGGTCTGGCTGTGCACAAACGAGCGGCAGACGCCGGAGTGCCGTCGACTTGTTGGGAAACAGAAGAAGACTTACGTCTTCTTGGCAACAGGGTTTGTGAACCAAAACACCGGGTGACCCCGGGTATACACCAGGTAGGTAGCCCGATTTCCTACCGAACCAGAGAACGAAATCATACAAAAACCCTTCCATATTGCTCCCACCCAGGCAGCACTGCGACAAACCGACCGAAAACGAAAAAACAACACCCAGCGAAACAACACCAACACACGTGTAGCAATCACACCAACAATACCCAGCAAAAATAGCGAACAGCAACAACTTCAGCAGCAGCAGCAGTCGCAGCAGTTTCTTCGCGTACCTGGCGGCTGAACGGCCACATGTAAGGGTCCGTGAGGTCCAGCTGCGGCGGCAGGAGCGACGCCCTTGGCGTGTAACGGCTGAGAAGCACGAACGCCGCCGCCACGTCCAGAGCCCCCGCCCCCTGCTCGAACACGCCTGCTTCCTTGACCCTGCGCGCCGACTCGGTCAGCACCTGACAAAAATAAGCGTTCGTCCACACGTGGTGCACGCGATGGGAGACACCGGTTTGCAGCTTCTCTTCGGGTGCATAACTTGGTGGCGAAAAAATAAATAAACATATATATATATATAAATCAACAATCTAAGCATTGGGATGCTAGCCACAAACCTGACGGCCAGTCTTATCCGATCCTCGTTGGCGGCTGAGTGTGGTAAAAAGGTTCGACACACAAATGGAGCGTTGGTTGGTGCTCTGCCGAATTTTGGAGGTCCATTCCGCCTGCATGTGGTGATTCTCAACGCTGTCGGTGGCTGAAAAGTTTCGATGTAGGATACAAAAGCTTCGGGCGGCAATCCGCCAAACCAAAGAACGTATTTTGGCGAAATCGTGCAGCCCTTTACGGCAGACCTTAGGATCAGCAAGAATGGTACTCGCACTGCTGCGGACGGGCGCACACTGTCTTTGGTGCGGCATACCCACCATCAGCTGTCCGCGGCTGAGCCCCAGCGGACAGCGCTGTGTGCATTGTGACTTGTTGGGTCTGTTGGAGAGAAAGCGTGTAAATTGTTGCAACCCATATTGTAGAGAATTCACTGCTCGATGCTGGCGTCGCAGACTACATCACACTCCATGTCCGCCAAACCAAAGGAAATATTACACATCACACAACAAGCAACCTGCTTGATGCTGGCGGGACAGACTACATCGCACCCCCCGCCAACATAGAAAAAATCACAACTCACTAACAAACCTGCTTGATGCTGGCGAATTTACGATGCCGCACCTAAGTCTCTGCCAGTTAAAGAGAAAATCACAACTAAAATAACAAACACTGCTTCATGCTGGCGGAACAGACTACATCGCACCCCGCCAACATAGAGAAAATCACAACTTTAACCCTGGATAACCTGCTTGATGCTGGCGGGATTGACGATGTCGCGCCTCCGGTCCGGCGGGACCGTGCTGGCCAACAGGGCGGCCGCGCCGGCCACAACGGGACAAGCCACCGATGTCCCCGAGATCCCGCTGCCACACACACACACACACACACACACACAAGAAAAAAAAAAAAATGCGATGACGCGGGTTTTTGCGTAGATTATGTGGTGGAACATGCGCTTTGTATTCCGGGACCGTAGGAGGGGTGCGGTAGGGGGCCTTCAGGTAGAGGATGCCTTCTGCGTGATCACGGATCGAGCACCTAGAGAGCCCGGCAGGAATGCCGGGTGTGAGCGCTGGTGAACAAAACGAAAAAAGGCACCGGTCTATTGTACAATACTCCTCCCTTTTGGTTGGATGTTTGGGGTGCTCGGCAGAGTACGAAGCTACGGGACCTCGAGGGTTATCGTAGGTGACACAAGATACCACACCCCCCGGACCGTCTTTCAACGCTAGACTACTGTCTACGACCAAGAGGATGCCGGAAATCCAACGATACGTTTCCGGAAAGATATCGACGACACGGTGGCAATGCCACCACTTTCGGCGTCGCCACATTTGCGACTGTGGAATAATTCGAGCCTTGAGAACCGGTCCAGGGGGTGTGGTATCTTACGGGGCCTCGGGTGTGTGACCAGGTTGTAATAGCCACCCGTCATGAAAAGGAAGTGTCGATCAGCGTCTTGCGTGCATCCCTGGGGCACTAATCGAAGCTTCCTGGTCGCGACTGAATTTGTAGGAGAATAAACGTCACTTCCTAGACTTCCAGTGTTACGGTCTGTGAGGGTGAGTGGCGGTGCTTTAAACGTACTCTTTCTTTCCTCCTGTTTGCCGTGTCAGCACTTGGTTGCCCAAAGAGGTGGGGACGAGGAGCGTCCTTGTGATACGTGTACTTTCGTGGGCGAACGTTCCTGGAAATTGCTTGGAACACCGGTCTTCATAATTTATACGAAAACAAAATCCACACGCAGCGTAGCCACGCTTGTTAGAGAAAAAAAAGTCCATACCCAACCAATCGACAGCATCGTAGCCACGCTTGAAGGAAAAAAAAAACAAAAACACGCAACCAATCGACAGCAGCGTAGCAACGCGTGTAGGGATAAAATACTAAAGAAACAACAGCAGTCGGGTAACATGCCTGCACTGTCCCAACGGGCCGCCCGCTTTGGGCCCCAGGACGAACTGTCCGACGGCCACGAGGTCTGGCTTCACGCGGCCGTATCCTCCCGGTAATTCCCACGTGGTCATCCCTGCGACGGTGAATGGATAAGATCTTATACAGAGTCGTGGTACCGAATTTCTTTGTTTGGGTTCGGTGAGGTTCGCAGGGCTGTTCGAGTCGAAAACACGTCACCTGTGTTAGTTTTGGGAGACGTCACGCCGCGGCGGCGGCAGCCAGCTGTGGCCCTTGATGGGGATCACTTGTACGTTTAAATTACATGCAGGTAGGGATATCTGATGTGAAGTCCGTAGGTCGGGGGGCTCGGTGCTGGGCATACAAGACCAGAGTGATTGAATGCACTCGTTGACATGGGTATCGTGCAGAGGGTCTTGTAGGCAGAAGGATCGGAGCTGGGCAACGTACCTCGCTTTCGACATGGGTACTATCCGTCGGTCTCGTTGTCGCTTGAACAAATCAGAAAAACTTGCAAACTCAAACAAATGTTTGGACACCGACGGAATACCAACAACGTGGTATCGAGACCACACCACAAAACAAAAGTGTGTGAACAACACAGCCAACAGGAAGAGAGTCACTGCTGTGCCTCGTGATACCACTCTCACTTACCTCTCGATTGGAAGCTCGCGACCCCCCGCCCGCTGGCCGACACAGCCCCGACTCCGATCGTGTCCATTTGATCCGCCGGGTTGTGCTGTTCAAGTCGCGATCCGGCACAATAATAAAAAACCCACACATCTTGAGACTCTTTTCTAGATAGAGAGAGGTGGATTCATTGCGTTATTAGGAAAATATGAAGACAAAGAGGGCACACGCGCAGGAAATTGCCGTGTCTTTGATGGCGGACAAAAAATCAAAAAATAAAATAAGAACATCTTGGGAATCCTGCCCGGCAACTCGCGTGTTCAGATCTTGGGGCGTTTCACCTCGAACCGACACGGGGATTGGGCTGGTGAGATTTGTCAGTGCTCAGTAGGAGGAAAGGGAAGCCGCCGCTGTCTCTTATCCAAAACTTCGCCGCACCGACTTCCTTGAAGGTAGTCAGCGAGGAACCAATCAACTTACGGTAGAGTTCGAGCATGCGAGGGCATATTGTAGTTGGACGCCCGTGGTCGGCACTGGGTGGCGAACTCATCGGCGCAGCTAGCTCTTAAAGCGAGCTTCAAACACTATTAGGGGGGTTATCGTAGACGGAACAAACTGGTAACTGCGTAGGAAAGAGATTTGTAATATTGCCTTGTCGTTACTCTACGTAGCAAGGTGTTGGTTGGTCGGTGGATGAACCTGGGTCCCGTAGAGAAGCCCGTCGTTCCCCACCGCCGGCAACGGCAATGCGTACTGGAACAACTCGAATCGCCATTGCGGTCTTTTGGGATACCGTACGTTGTAACTTTTTGGTTGGTCGGTGGACAAACCTGAGTCCCGTAGAGAGGCCCGTCGTTCCCCACGGCCGAAAACACGACAACGCCGTTGGCAGACAGCTCTCGAACCTAAGAACGTCTCCGGCGGTATCATCATGCAGCAACAGGGGGAAAGCACGCACGGCGGCGGACCACGTTGAGTACACGGCCGGAAACATGGCACCGCGGAGGATCGGGGAGCGTCTCTTTAGGAGAGAATGTTGGTGGTGGGAGAAACGTTTCTTGGGGAAGGGTCTGAAAAACGTTCGCCAACGGGTGTCGAGTAGGGTTCCGGCGGGTACACCCAGCGATGGAGAAATGAACAAAATGTGTAACTCTGCTGTTCGGCCTCGCGCTTTCTGCTCTCCTCGTCCGGGTGGCTTTTCTTCCGAGCCTCGTACACAAAACAGTCACCAGGCATGCGTTTCGGCACAAAAAAGGCGGGATCAGGCGGACTCGGAAACGAACCGCCCGCGCGAACTTGCACGCTCGCGCGGGGAGGCGCATCCATCCGCAGCTACGATTTTGTAGTGCCGGGGTCCCGCTAAGACGCCGGTGACGTAGGCTATATAGGACACAGCTGCTGAAAGAAAGCACCCGTGCTTACGAAATTGGCAAGTCAAGAAACTGATTCAGCCTCGAAAAACTCAAAATCTAGGAACTTGAGCACCTACATCAAAACCTATATAGCGACCATTCGCAGCATGACCCTCCAAAGCTAAGAACTTGAGCACCTACATTGAAACCTACATAGCGACCATTCGTAGCATGACCCCAGGAACTCATATCCCCAGCCGTGCCAAAACTAAAGAACTTCTATGTGCGGGCGCTTTCTGGGCTGCGGCACTACGGAACTCCCACTGATGTACTGCGGGGGGGCCCACTGCTGTACCTTGTCCACGAAGGGCTGATCCTTGAAGTCCGGACCACCGATGCTCAGGTTGACTATATCGACACCCAGGAAGAGGGCGTAGTTGAACGCGTCTAGGAACCAGGAGGTGTACGAGACCTTTTGTCGAGATCACGACCAGAGATTGCGGAAAGCAGAAAATATCAATATGAAAGATCTTTACCGAGCGTCCTCAACGAATCAGAACAACATGGCGAAGCTGAAAGCGTGCAATAAGTCGAAAAGAGTTGAACGCGTTTTGGAGGAACCCGGAAGTGTTCGATACCTTTTTTCGTAAATCACAATCAAAGAATTGAGAAAAAAAAACGAAAAAGAGGCATCTAACATTTACCGAGCGTCCGTAACGTAGTAGCGAACGGAAATGGCGAAGCTGAACGTGTGTAGAAAACACCCAAACGTGCGCGTCAAACTGAAAACAAGTAATACTACAAAGAAGGTTTTGTAAACACGATTGAAACAAGCCACGTGCAACCATTTGGGAGTACCAGAGTAGAAAAGGAGCGGCATAAAAGAAAAAAGTCACGCGTATACAGCACCCTCCTGAGAAAACACAGGACACGCGAAAAACCCATTCACCGTAGGTCATCGCACAAACAACCGACGCTCTTCTTGTCACGGCTTGATTCGTTCTCTGCCAGGTTAACATTTGCCAGTGCCGTCCACGGGAGTACAGCAACATCTACTATCCCACCAATTCGTCAATCAGCAGTGCAAGAGAGGAACAAGGCCACTCTCGGTTTTACCTTATCACGGTTTTGAGCACAGTACAACACCCGAAATAGTCGATTGACGAACATTGACACTTACAGAACAAGACATCAAACACGAAGTAGAACACGCGACGTGGGCAGCTTCTTCCCGGAAAAGCATGGCACCAAATTGACCGCCACGTACGAAGACGCCTCAATTCAACAACGCAACACAACAGTCGGAAAACATGAGAAACTTAATGAAGTTCTTCTTTGGGCGAACCGCATCATCACACCTGCTCGCCGGAGAACACTCGAAAAATGTACAGGTCAGCGTCGGGTGCGAATCCGGAGCACCCTTGATCCCTCCCACCAATGACGCCTGAACGAGAACAGGGGGGGGGGGGGGGGGGGGGGGGGGTTTTTTTTTGTTTTTTTGT